CTAACTTTTTAAAATATTTGAACTTCTAAATCTATCTGTATAAAGTAATATATATACATATATAGTCAATATTGATATAAATTCTTGTTTTTGTTAAATATTAGGATATTAGTTGTGGTTCAAGTAGCCGATTGTAAATTACCTTGATAAAGTGAGATTTGCAATTGTATTATGTAAAAACAAAAGTCAAATAAAGTTTTCATTACTATTATTACTATTATTACTATTATTACTATTATTACTATCATTACTATCATTACTATCATTACTATCATTACGATCATTACGATCATTACTATCATTACTATCATTACTATCATTACTATCATTACTATCATTACTATCACTACTATCACTAGTATCACTAGTATCACTAGTATCACTAGTATCATTATTATCATTATTATCATTATTATCATTATTATCATTATTATCATTATTATCATGATTATCATGATTATCGTGATTATCATGATTATCATGATTATCATGATTATCATTATTATCATTATTATCATTATAATAATTACTGACATTGAGCAGCAGCGCATATTCACTCTCTGTACATGCCGTTCATTTAAATGAAAAATACTTTACTTGAATTTGGTACATTATCGTCGTATTGAATTTAAGTCTATAATGATTCATATAAGCTTACTTGCATTGTTTTTTACTCTCATAATATGCGGATCTTGTGCAAAAGAATCTGTACCATCGGGCTGCCACTCACGGCGTTGTAAAAGCAAAATTGATTACCGCGAAGAAACCACTGGAAAAGCTGATCCTGTTATGGAAATCCCTTCACAAGAATGCATGCCGATAAAGACGCGCAAAGCTATCAAATGCTGTTGTGGAAAAGTCTGTAAAGGAGCTTGCGGCCTTAAAATGCACCAGCAAAGCTGTAGGGTCATTGAAGATCTCGAAGAAGAGCTACAACAACAAATGGTAGAAGTCCTATCAGAACAACAGAACGAGGATGATATTGACCCGGTCAACATTATGGTTTCATCAGGTAATGTTCAAGAAAACTATCCAGATATTAAAAAAGGAATAAAACTACCTAAATCGCCATCACAATGGGCAATTGCTAACGACTTTTTCAGGTTAACTTTTTCAAACCACCCAATCACACCGCACGATATAGGTAATAATATCAAAACCATGGCAACAGAAATATACAACTATTTTGGTGATAATTTTGGATATATTGATAACAATAGCAACGCCAAATTTGAAAGTAAATACAAAACGTTTGCAGCCAAAGATTTGAAGAAAACCTTGAAGAAACTTAAATTAGAAAAAGGAGATGTTTTAGAGATTAAATTCGTCGCTAACAAACTATGCAATTTACTCAAAAACTGTGATATAATTGATCACAATAATACAAATACAAGTGGGACTAAGGAACACGACCACGACAGGCATCTGTTAATAACATCTGTTCTTGATTATCATCACATACCAGAAAACATTAAATTTATAATTAATAGCTTATACACGGATTTTAAAACCTCAATTATCACATCAAATTTTCAAACCCGATTTATCTCAGTGGGTAGAGGTGTGTTGCAAGGTGATTGCCTTAGCCCACTACTATTCAATATGTGCTTTAACACTTTTATCCAGCACATTAAAGCAGAAAAATACCGACAATTTGGATTCTCGTTTCAATTACTTAACCCTGTTCACTGGTTCCAATTTGCAGACGATGCTGCAGTTGTTACTACTCAAGAATCAGAAAATCAACACCTCCTTAATCGCTTCTCTGTATGGTGCCAATGGTCTGACATGTTTATTCGTGTTGAGAAGTGCAGTACCTTTGGCATCAAGAAATCACTGACAAAATCTATCCAATACCTTCCTAAGCTGATTATAACTAATAAACTGATTCCCACAGTCAAACTCTTTCAAATATTTGGAACGATATTTTAATTTCCATCTGTCAGACAAAGAACATAAGCTCGAACTAACCTCACTAATCGAAGATCTAATGACAGTTATTGACTCTAAGCCACTTCATCCAAAAAATAAACTAATAATCTACAGTCGCTATGTCCTTTCAAAAGTGTCTTGGCATTTTACAGTGTCCAACATATCTCAAACATGGGTTAAAGAAAACATTGATTCCATTGTTAACAATTACATACGTCGATGGCTTGAAATACCAATCTCAGGAACACTCAGTACAGTTTTCATGTCTAGAAATAAATTTGGCCTTGATATTTGTCCCATTTCTATTAAATTTGTTCAATGCCAGACGGTTATGAGAAACGCCTTAAAAAATTCCCCAAACACAGAAATAAATTAACTTTGGAAAACCACGAGTACCAATAAAAATATCCAATATGATGCTTATACCTGTACAAAAGAAGTTCTCCGAGATTTCCGCACAAACCAAGAGGACAAGTATGAGGCGCCGTGTGTTGCATAATTCAAACCGGCCTTTCTCTCGTTAACGGAAAAGGCCACAACACATGATAAATGCCAAAACCATACATTTCATCATTTGAAATACATGCAATACATGTTGAACAGCTAAACTAATTATTTTTCAGTGTATTTTTGTGCCGATTACAGTGTCTATTTTTATCCGAATTTCAGTCTATTTTTATGCAAATTTCAGTATACTTCACGTGCGAATTTTAGTCCATTTTTGTGCGAATTTCAGTCTATTTTTATGCGAATTTCAGACTATTTTTATGCGAATTTCAGTCTATTTTTATGCGAATTTCAGTATACTTCACGAGCGAATTTTAGTCCATTTTTGTGCGAATTTCAGTCTATTTTTATGCGAATTTCAGAACATACTTTACGTAAGAATTTCAGTTCATTTTTTTGCGAATTTCAGTATACTTTACTGTGCGAATTTCAGAATAGTTTAGTCCATAGAGCATGCAATATCCTAAAAATGGCGGCGTTATAAAGGCTAATTGACCCTAGTTAATGGCGTATTTTTGACAAGCCCCTAACGTGTGACATAAAAACTTCATCATAGGGATTGAGGGATGGGGAATTACATTGACTAGTGCTTTTATTTCACTTATGTATGCAATTTTATTATGTATGCATTTACTTGTGTATTGAATTTTACTTTTTTGGGGTAGGTACATCATAACTGATGGCCAATTGCAACATTTGCGTAGCACTGGTATGTCATGGTCATCTATCTCCACAACATTAGGTGTTGATAGAGCAACAATTTATAGGCGACGGAGATTGTTTGGCATGAACACAGACGAGGCATACAGATTTTCAGACATTCCAGATGGTGACCTAGACACTATACTTACACATTTACTACGTCATAGTCCAAATGTTGGTGAGACATATGTGCAAGGAAGTCTTCGAGCTAGAGGAATAAAAATCCAGAGATGGAGATTACGACAAAGGTTGCAGGTAAACTAATCCTAAGTCACTCCCACTATCTGGTAACAGATTTTACAACCAATTATATGTATATATGTGTTTATACATATTGGTTAGAATTGAATTTATGGCTAAATTGTACACTTTACTTTGGCACCATGTCTCAATAACTTGCAAGACCTCCAGTGTAACACCGCTTTTACATTCAATTTCGCAAAATTTTTGCCGAATTATTTCCTCTTTCGAAAGCTAATTTTTTGGCATTTGGCCATAGCCTGATCAGTGACAGTGGGCAAAGTTTGTGAAATTTACTGTTAAGCATGTTAAATCAATGCATATTTTTTACCACTCGTGTTACTAACATTTTGCGAATTTGGCTAGTAGGCAATGCTAGGAAGAGAATCTGAGTGGTAACTGATCAGTGCCTTGTTTGGAAAGATTTTAGATCCAGTCGGCAGGGCACTCAGACGACGGCAGTGTATCCGAAGGCGGGTGTATAATGTTGCTCGTCCAAACCTACTATGGTGCGTAATTAGATTGAAAATAAAATTAATATACACAAAATCTTATATCAGATGAAATGAACGTATAATCGAAATTCAGGGTCCTTTCCCCTTCCGACTTTCTTCGTAGCCTCTACATATATCTACTGCAAACTTTAGCAGTGGTCTGAAAAACGAACATATATTATGATTATATAATTTATTTAGGCATATCGATGGGAACCACAAACTCGTTTCATGGAGATTTGTCAACCATGGTTGCATAGATGGTTACAGTAGGGCTATTATATACCTCAAATGCTGCCCAAATAATAAAGCAAGAACAGTAATGGAATTGTTCCAAGAAGGTGTGGAGAGATTCGGCTTCCCATCTAGGGTTCGCGGTGATCGTGGGGGTGAAAACGTTGACGTCGCACGTTATATGATCGCAAATCGGGGTTTAAATAGGGGTAGTTTTATATGTGGACGTAGTGTGCATAATCAAAGGATTGAACGATTATGGAGTGAGGTAAATAGAATTGTAAATTCTCCATTCAGAAATCTGTTTACATTCATGGAAAATTCTGAAATTTTGGATTCAATGAATGAAGTACATTTATGGGCACTTCATTTCGTCTACCTTCCCAGAATAAATATATGCCTATCGGAGTTTGTTTCTCAATGGAATAACCACGGCTTAAGTACAGTGCAAGGTAGAACACCCATGCAATTGTGGCACTCTGGTATGATACAAAACGTTGATAGTATAGAAGACATTCAACCAGATCATTTGGAGGATTATGGGATTGACGATTTTGAGCAATCAGATTTTTTAGATCTAGGAAACAGTGTGGACATCCCGGAGAACGAATTCAATTTAGATGAACGACATATTCAGCAGTTGCAGGAACAAATACAACCTACAGATGACCATGGAAATTATGGCATAAACCATTTCATACATGTTGTGAACTTTATTTCCAATATCAATGCTTAGAAAACTGTAATTTGGTTGGTTAATGTTGTCCTACTGTATTTACAGTTTTTGAGAAGACGTAAAACAAATCTCAGGATTTACATAGTAGTGCGCTGACATTTTACAACAAGTGTTAAAGTTAAAGAAATGTCAACAGTTTTATCTACTATGCCAGTTAACAAACGTAAAAACAGAGAATAAATTTAAATAATATACTTAGTTAATATATCCAAACACCATTATTCACGATTTGTCGAAGCCAACGGATCCAAAAATGGATTCTTTCATCATTTCTTCAAACTTACTTGGATCTTCTATGCCTCTTGGTACAAAGAGTTGCAAGGCACATGACGATGCATAGGGAAACCGTTTACCTCCTTCTTCTAGATCCTGGTCGTAGAACCCGATCAAAAGGTTCTTATTGAATCCCATTGGTGGTATACAGTCCGCGCCTGTGATGAACTGGAGGACATCCTTGACCTGCATGTCTACAGTTATGTCGTCGAGTGTACAAATACTCACATTTCCATCTAGGTAAATTGCATAATAATGTTATATCAACGTTCGTAACGATAAACACAATTTCTCGACAAATTTTTACTAAGAAATAGACAAGATACCTTCAACATTTTTTAAAAATATTTCCCAACAGTAGATTGTCGCATCCTCTTTATCTCGTCTGTTACTGCCTTCTTCACTCCAAAGAATGTGGAACAATTCTTTCAGTTGTGCACAAGTTATCAGACAACGATTATATGTGAACATAATTCAAACTTTCTCGGGTGTTGTTTTATAGTCTCCCATAACCCTCCTGCCTCATTTAAGCCTTTTGTAAATTGCATCATCTCCGCTGTGACCCTAAAAAAGGTTATAGTTAAGTTTTAAAATGTTATGCTATACGGGAGAACATTCCAGAGTAACATCGTTACAGGGGAAAGGGATATTTTTATCCAGGGAGGGTCAAAAATCTAGCCCAGGCTACGTTTTCATGATACCGGACGAATTTCTAACCGGTCTGAAATACTGGTACGTTGTTTCCATTTACAAGAGGATGAATTTATGACAAGGTATATTTTATGACCTGACTGGTTTTATGACCTAAATACCTGTAGAACAAATGATATTTTAACAGACTAGCAACAATTCGATCCTTGTCTTCTGCTTTTGTAGAATAAATTTCAGGATACCCCATTGAAGCAATATAATCGCCTTTTTCCTTAGTCAACGTGTCAAACATCTCTTGGGTTTGAACTGATTTCAGCTATAAGAAATATAATTTACGTCATTGCAGTAATATGGTTATAGTAAATATATTAAAACCAAAGTACCTGTGCAACAAGTGCAGAAAAATCAGTATCAACAATGCTAGTCATATCAAATTTTGAAAGATCACATTGGATACCACACATTAAATGATACACTGATGGATGAAAACAACAAATTCCTGGTCCTCCTTGTGTCAGTGACAATCCAACTAAACGGCCAGCCAGGAAGAATTTGTTTTCCTCTACCAGCTTGATGTTATGGGAGAACATCATGTAGCCTTCACGACCCTCGAATAATCCAAAATAGGAGGGCAGCTGATTCATCGCAAGTCTATTAGAGAAACATGAAAATGTTGAACAAGAAAAATCCATAGCACCCATTAAAATATTGTTCTTCGCTTGTCAAGTCATAAGATTGTTTACAAACTTTAGCTGCTGGTTTTTAAACTTATAAATTATAGCTTATATGACTCGTTTTAACCCTGATTACAACCTAGTCAATGTCTGTGGCAGGGCTGAGATTAATTGCATTAATTAGTGGGTGGGTTTATATTCGTATACTCATATTGTCTACATACAGTAAAAACAAATGCTCTCACAAGAAATCAGATGTACTCAAGACAAATATATGAATATGCAATGATCAGACTAGGTTTGGCCCTGGTCAGTTGTACTTATGAAAATTGAAAATATATACTGTAACCGAAATATAGGCATTGGGATTGTAATGAAAAAAACCCCACAAACTATACTATGCTCCATAATATGCTTTTCAGCATACAGTATATAATCCATATGCTTTTCATATGACTCAACAAATTTGTATTTAAACTATGATATTGTACTGAAAATAGTGTAAATCATACACCTAAAAAATTCCCGGCGAGGTCCGCCTGCATCAGACCCCAATTCACCACTGAACTTTACAGATAGCTCTTTGCAGCAGTTGAAAGATTTTGCCTTAATTGCAGAAAAAGCTGTTTCGAGTATTCTAGACCTTCGAATAATTATTTCATTTGTTTCTTCACTCAAGATATGTTGCATGTGGTGATCTTTCAATATCTGACTTAAATCTTTTACATTTCTGTAAGAATAGAAATGATAATACTATCACAATCACATTTAATTTTAATGTGTAGCACATTGTAACTACTACAATGGCATAGTATGTTAAACAAAAAAGACAATGATTTACTAACTCATTTAAGTCTTGCATAGATGCTTCAATGGCAAGGTTAAGGTTGTCCTCCTCCTCTTTCCAGACAGATATCAACAAGTCATTATCATCATCCGAGTCACTCATCAGATTTATGAATGAAGAGTATATTGCTGCACTGCTGTAAGGTGAAAACATAGGTACACATTACAATATTTTATTAAATAACTTGCACAAACACTGATGATCACAAGCTGTATATGTGCATATGTGAAAATTGAAAGCATAACAAAATTGTAGAAGCAACTACATATATAACATACATCTAGTATACAACTATACTCAAGAAGTTGTCCTATAAATGGTAAATTGAAACAAATATTTTAGCAGCACATGTATATCACTTATAGAAATGGTGGTGTCTTTTGGGATAGAAAGTGTATAAAAGGAAGTGCAATATAGGAATAAATTATCTACGCTTGTTCTTTATTATGGACCAGATGCTCATTGTCACTTGAAGGATGAATTTGGAAAGAATGCAAGACTATATGTTTTAACCTCCAGAAGTTTTTCTACAACCATATGTATGGGTTGGAGAACAACAGTCTGGGTGTTGTAATCTATGGTATTATGGACATTGTCCAATTCTGTCATAAAAAAACAAGATTAAAGGAAATTGCATTTTTTGGATACCAAGTACAGTGAAACTTCAGTAACACTCCTAATAAAATTAATGGTATCCAAATATACTTGTAGTTGTGCTGGGCTACCTTACCCATTTTCACTTGTATTGGAAGGCCCGCTTTCTTCTTGCTTTCTCTTTCTCTTTGTTCCCATTTTAGCAGGATTTTCATGGTAAGACATTGATTCTTGCTGCATTGAGGTAGTAGGTGAATCTGAATCCTCATCACTTGATTCAATCTTTAGATGGCAGAGCAAAGAAATTAGTTTTAGCTACTACCAGTGGGCAATAGGTCATTGGACCAGTTCCGATACAAGACGTTTTCCATTGATTAGTAAAATAAATTAGGCATGCACAAATGTACAAATATATACCTTTATGTCAACAAGATTTGTTGATGGTCTGAGGTATATTGCTTTGCTGCCAAATATTTTGCCCAGGATGTATCCAGATAAGAACTGTCCAGGAGATGACATTGGCTTGACAAGCTTGTTTCCACACCCCATCATAACTTCCACCCTGTATTACAAAAAGCATATTGTGTGACATGATTTGCACAATGTGGTAACTACAATTAGCTGAATACTATAAGCAGATTACCTAGTAAAGGCAAATTAAAAATTAAAAAATGACAGTTTTCCCTGCAGTTCCTAAACATTTGGTCATGCAAGAGATACTTGTGAATATTATTTTGCATATTTGTCATTTATATCAGCAGAAAATTAAACTTGTTCCATGACATATAGTAGTGAAGTAATAAGGCCATGGAAGTATCTTTGACTTTGATATATCCCTGCAGCACTGTGCATAAGTCAATTTTTGGTGTCTAAGTCTTAAATATAAGTTCTGCCAATATTAGGTGTATTTTTAAATATTTTGTGAGATTTAAAAAGTTAGATGAATTTGAAATTAACACATGTCTGAAACCTCCACTGTGTCTCAAGGAGGTAGAGTGGGGCTTCTATTAAAGTGCTAAATATAGCATGATTCATACGTAGTGCCTTCAGGAATTCTGTCTGCAAAATAGCTGGCCAGATGAGAGATAACTGCACTTGCACTCCACTCTTTCTGGATCTCTACTGCACTCAAAATATGACCTATTTGATATAGTTCTTGCTTTCTACTTTGCTTTGGGACTACATTGTCGCAGGGTGAAGATAGAAGAATAACTTCCTTTGTATTGAAGACTGCATGTTGCTGTCCTGGAGTTCTTTTAGATCTACTATTACTTGAGTTCTTTTGCCTTTATTGAAAAGAGTATAATAAGGGATTTGTGGACATTTACAAAACACATTAAATATTCATACCAAAGAACAAAAGCATGATTATAAATACATTAACTACCTTTTTGAAACCTGAGGGGTGTAATTTCTACGCACTTGAAAGATAGGGTATGTCGCAGCCGGTGTAATTTGCTGTGCTGGCGTGGTCAATGTACTCGATTGCCTTGTTGTTGCAGAAGCATGCGGACCATGCACTGTTTGCTGTTCTGGCAAGCTGTTCATAGTTCCCGTTTGTCCAGCTGTTCGAAAAATGGACGAAACTTCTGACGAAGCTTCAACTATAGCGTTGTGTTGTACTAAACCTCGTGCCTGTTGTGAAGCTCCAGATCCTTCTATGGCTCTCCTCAAAGTACTTCGAAATTCTTCACTTGCCAATATGGCATCAACAATTCTTCCTGTTCCTCCCACCATTATCGGCTTTTTAACGATTTACAGATTTCGTCAAAGTTTTGGCCAGTGAACTCAAAAAAGACTGGAACGATAACTCCGCTGCCATCTTTGAAGCCAATTTGAAGGCTGCCATTGCACATCACGGGTCGGAAATTATACACCCCATTTTTACTCACACTTGTAAACTATTCCTGAAATTCGCACGGTAAAGTACACTGAAATTCGCAAAAAAGTGAACTGAAATTCTTACATAAAGTATGTTCTGAAATTCGTACAAAAATGGACTGAAATTCGCACGTGAAGTATACTGAAATTCGCACAAAAATGGACTAAAATTCGCTCGTGAAGTATACTGAAATTCGCATAAAAATAGTCTGAAATTTGCATAAAAATAGACTGAAATTCGCACAAAAATGGACTAAAATTCGCTCGTGAAGTATGTTCTGAAATTCGCATAAAAATAGACTGAAATTCGCACAAAAATGGACTGAAATTCGCACGTGAAGTATACTGAAATTCGCATAAAAATAGACTGAAATTCGGATAAAAATAGACACTGTAATCGGCACAAAAATACACTGAAAAATAATTAGTTTAGCTGTTCAACATGTATTGCATGTATTTCAAATGATGAAATGTATGGTTTTGGCATTTATCATGTGTTGTGGCCTTTTCGGTTAACGAGAGAAAGGCCGGTTTGAATTATGCAACACACGGCGCCTCATAGACAAGCTGCAAAACAAGCTTAGTACTCAAGGACTTTTCTTTAGTTGTGTTGATAAATTCGCCTTATCACATTAACAAAATTATGGTCAGTGGCTCAGTCAAATCTTCCAAAAAATATCTTCAATTTTAGTATCAGATATATCAATAACTCACTTCCAACTGGTCAAAATCTTAAAAGGTGGAATATATCTTCCATCTCTAGTTGTTCCAACTGTTTGTCATTTGAAACCCTGCTACATGTTGTCGCTGGTTGCAAGTCTTACCTTGACAGATTCACTTGGCGCCATGACTCGATTTTAAATCTCCTAGCTAAAACCCTTCATTGTGTTAAAAATACCAGTCTGTACGTCAATATTCCTGGATACAAGTGTCCATCAATAATCCCTGGGGACCAATATCGTACTGACATTCTCCTCGTTACTTCAGACAACACATTATATATTGCAGAATTGACCGTCGGTTATGAATCTAACCTTCGAAACAACAGCAACCACATGAAACAAAAGTATTCTGAACTTGTAAAAGAGCAAACAAGAATTTATAGAGATGTAGTATTTGTAAATATATCCATGAGTTGTTTAGGTATTTTTGCTAACGAAAGTAGATCCCTTTTTAAAATGCTCCATAAACTTGGCGTAGACCAGAAACAAGAGGATTACTGTGTGAAACGTATGGCGACAATTGCAATTCGAACTACATATTATATATTTTGCCGTAGAAATAAAGAGTGGGAAAATCCTGAACTTTTAGTGTATTAATGTTTAATAATGTATTATAAATAGCTTACATAAATGTATAATCTTATTTTGATCCTAATTTTTCGTTCCATATATAATTAGTATTGATATATAAGTAGATTCAAGTAGCCGATTGTAAGTTACCTAAAGTATTAGTGAGATTTACAATTGTGTATATATACTATAAAGAAAATCAATAAAGTTTCCATTGTTGTTGTTGTTGTTGTTGTTGTTGTTGTTGTTGTTACTATTATGCCTCAAGAAATTGCTATTTTAGTATCTCTATTTTTATTATAGCAATGCAATATTACATAATGTTAGCTGTCATAACGCATAATGCTTAAACACTGGGAGGAATTTTAATAAGACTAGGCAAGGTATATTTTTTCAATGATACGATGATACAGAGTAAAAATAATGTAATGTCAATGTGAGGGAGCAATTTTAATAAGACTTGGCAAGGTATATTTTTTCAATGATAGGATGATACGAAGTGAAAATAATGACATAATTTCAATGTGAGGGAGTTGTTTTAATAAGACTGGGCAAGGTATATTTTTCAATGATACAAAATTATACAAAGTTGAAATAATGACATAATGTCAATGAGTGAGAAATTTTAATAAGACTGGTGTTTTAAAAAAACCCATCTTAATATCAATGCTATTGGTTATGGATTTCAAAAGAATATTTTTTAATAAAAATCTACCAATGTAATTGCGATTTTAAGCTGAAGTAATTTATTCTGACCACCCCTAGATTCACCACTGCGTGAAACCTTGCATAACAATTATTTTTGAATAAAAGTCTACCAATGTAATTGCAATTTTAAGCTGAAGTAATTTATTCTGACCACCCCTAAATTCGCCACTGCATGAAATCTTGCATAACAAACCTGAAACGTGTTAATATAACATTGGCCTTGGTAAAGGCTACAAGTACATTCGACTAAGTCCTAAACTCACTTGTCAGGAATTAACTTCAATATAGACAATATACATGCCAAGGATATGCTCATTTTCGAACCTATATCAATCATGTGTTTGCTTGTTCTTCCGATAGAATACCCTGGTTGACTAGTAATTGCTTTATGTGATTTTTAGATAGCTGTGTGGCATGGGCGGCTACACTTTTGTTCGTAAATCTCCCGCGTTACGAAAGCGCCAGGAGTTGACTGAAGTAGGGATTTTCTTTACGAAAACCATTATTGGTTTTGGAGCTTTTGCAACTCTTCCAATGACTAATGTGCCATACTGTTGACACAACTGTTACAGCGCATTATCAAATTCAGTTGCGGTTACCAGTCGATGGGAAGAAGGCGACAAGGATTGTTTGAAAGCCCTGTATGTTAAGACAGGACTGGGAAAGGACAGTATTGCCATCTTTAAATCAAATTGCATGGGTTGATGCCTCACCTTGTTGCAAATGTCATTTGTTACGGATTGAATAAACTAAAATATTAATTGAGATGATCTGTCAAGGTTTGCATACAGCTGGCCTTTTACAATTACGTTTTAGCAATAAAACATTAGTATTATTTGAAGTATTTATGATACGATTTACCTGGGAGATGGCATCCTTTTGTTCCAAATGATTTACCAAAGCAATTCCGCGGTCAAGTGTTTCCTTGCTGATCTCAGTTGTGCACGTGTTGGCCATGAAGTATTAGTTCTGTGGCAAGGTGAACATGTGTAAAGCAAGGGCGATTCACTGTAAGTGGTCAGACTTCTTTGACTTAGGAGTCATTTACCTTCAAGGATAGCCACATTGAATTCAGCAGTTCTTCCTTGTCAAAGGTATAGCCTTAGGTGCGCTGTTGGTGAATGTCATTTATCATGTTGAATATCTCAAGGAAGCTATCGATCGGCTCTGTCTCAATAATCATTAGCATAAGCCTGCTGTTGTGGTGTAGGAAGTGGAAGCAAAGGAATGGATATGAGAAAGCAGTCCATGGCCTTGGTCCATTCGTGCGATAAGTTTTGCTGCATTTTTATATTTGCGTACAGCCTAGAATTGAGAAAGGAGTGTTAGGTGGCTCATTCTCCAGAAAATAGTTTACAGAGCGATTGGACGTTGCCACTGGCAGTTTCATCATCTGACTTTAACAGTTTATTGAGCATGTCATATATTTCTGATGACACAACGTACGCTTTGCGGTTATCTGCTATCTGCTTAGGCCCTGTCCACACTAAGGCATTTTCGTTTGAGAACGGACACATTTTAATGCCTTTTGGCCTTCCGTCCACACTAAAACAACCAGAGATGATAAGCGTTTTCTTAAAAAATGCATTGATTTGAAAACGCTGTTGAAAGTGGAGCCAAATGAAAACGCATAGGTATCGTTTTAGTGTGGACAATCAAAAATGCTATGAAAATGATACGTAATATTTCCCCAAAAATCAAACATGGCGGATCCAAACATGCTATTGCTTGGTAACTTAGTTGCATGTTTGCAGCTAAATATCTTATTAATTAACCATCTGATGTTAACCCATTCACAACGAGTGAGTTCGAATGAGTTTTTTGAAGGCGTTACTCCACTTTTCGCCAACATGTTTTGGCGCCGTACACAAAAAAAGAGAAGGCCGCAAAGATTTTAGGTTTAGCCAGGACGAACCAGCACCTGGTGAGATAACTTTGAGTCCAACTCAATGCTACAAG